AAGAAGGGAGACAAGACCGGAGACAAAGGGAGACAGAAGGGAGACAATGCGGACGCAATGAAGGAAGACAAGAAGGCAGACACGAGGAAAAAAGGGAGACAAGACGGACACAATGACCGACAAGAAGGGAAACAAAAGGCATGCCATGGGAGATGCTTGTAGCAACCCTAAGGCGACAAAAGGAAACAGAAGGGAGACAAGGCGGACACAGTGATCCACAAGAAGGGAGACAAGACCGGAAACAAAGGGAGACAAGAAGGAGGACAAGAAGGAAGACAAGGCGGACACAATGACCAACAAGAAGGGAGACAAAAAGGGAGACAAAAGATAACAGAAGGGACAAGCATACACAATGATCAACAAGAAGGGAGATAAGAAGGAAGACAAAAGGAGACAGGGCCAGCGGAAAAGGACCTGAGAGACAAATGAATAGAAATGCGCGGAAAAGGGCGGACACCAGCAGGGACAGACCTGGGAGACAAATGAATAGAAATGCTGCATGGCCAGCGGAAAAGGGCGGACACCACCAGTGACAGACCTGGGAGACAAATGAATAGAAATGCTACATGGCCAACGGAAAAGGGCGGACAGCACCAGTGACAGACCTGGGAAACAAATGAATAGAAATGCTACATGGCCAACGGAAAAGGGCGGACAGCACCAGTGACAGACCTGGGAGACAAATGAATAGAAATGTTGCATCGCCAGCGGAAAAGGGCGGACACCACCAGTGACAGACCTGGGAGACAAATGAATAGAAATGTTGCATCGCCAGCCGAAAAGGGCGGACACCAGCAGGGACAGACCTGGGAGACACATGAATAGAAATGCTGCATGGCCAGCGGAAAAGGGCGGACACCACCAGTGACAGACCTGGGAGACAAATGAATAGAAATGTTGCATCGCCAGCGGAAAAGGGCGGACACCACCAGTGACAGACCTGGGAAACAAATGAATAGAAATGCTACATGGCCAACGGAAAAGGGCGGACACCAGCAGCGACAAACCTGGGAGACAAATGTATAGAAGTGCTACATGGCCAGCGGAAAAGGGCGGACACCAGCAGCGACACAAAGGGCGGACACACCTTAAGAAAGAATTGAGAACCCCTAACAGTAAACTGTTTGGGGAAATAGAAACTATAAAAAATGATTTCCACACACACCACTCAAGATCAGCCCAGCATCCTGTTACAAAGTGGCTTTTGAGGCTGAATGCCAATGTAAAATCAAATATTGTAATATATATATATACAAATGAAACAGCTCTTTTTTGTCGACACTCAAAGTACTGCAGTGCAGCCTACCTCCAAGAACTCTAAAGGGCTTCCAAAGCCCTTTGCATGATTTGCAAAGTTTGCTATTGATCCATAGTTTCTTTCCCAAGACCCTTACCGTGTCCAAATCATCTTTTGTCATTTTCCAAGGCCCTCTCTGTTTCCAAATCCCCTTCGACTTCTATCATGTCCAAATCATTCATAATCCTCCTTTACTATTTACTACGACATACTACGACCCTTCCCATACACTTACACCCTTGTGTCCAAAGCGTCCTCTCTGGATTGACCGGATGCGGCCCAAAAGCTTGCAAGTCTCGCCAAGTCTGCAGCCTTCCTCTTTCAGTCGGTAGAAGCGGCATGGTTTGCAGCAACCCAAGACCTCCCGCAGGTTATACCCAACCGAGCAAATCAATCATATCAAGCTGCCCCTCCCAGCTTCAGCGGAAGGAGATATAGTAAACCACACACACACACTGGATCTCTCTTGAGCAAGCTGTCGCTGTCTGAGCTGAGCACATGCTTTTCCAGCATAGATGGCATCGGAAGAGCCAGCACTTTGGAGTCTGGAAAGTTGGCATGACCATCACCTGGGCGCTGCTTCTTTGCCGATCACGATGGACCAAAGCTGTTCTACACGTTGGGATACTTTGGGTGTTTGATCACTGAAGTCTGGTGGTCAAAAGAGAGGACATGTATCAGGTGTGCCCGGAACTTGTGGAGAGTACATGAGAGTACAGTCTCCACCGCTCTAGCACTGCAAGCAAAAAAGTGTCCATGATGACGAATATACTTGTGCACTCTTGACTTGATATAGCCACAGCCAAGTACTCAGTATAGTATAGCACTCTGCAATGCTTTGAACTGAAGTCTGAAAGTCAATTTGGTTGTGGCAATTGCCTAAATATATACACAGGCAGTAATGTGGTCATATACATCTTCACCTTGCACGCGCGTGATTTCTGTAGACAAACCATTGCTGGAATCAGGAAATTCAACTGACAAGAATACGTTGAGCAGCCCAGGACTCCTCAAACCAACATGAGTTTTGTATTGAGTACACCGAATCTCATGAGAGACTACTTACATCACATCGACAACAACAAAAGGCCATAGATTGATATAGGTTCGAGCCTGCACATCCTGAACCTCTGATTTTCACACCTGCCCCTGGTCCTGAAGCCTGGCTGAATGAGTGGCTCGAACTCAATGAGTTGGCATCGGCTTGGAGAGCATCCGACGTTTTGGTCGAGGAGACACTCACAGAGTACTTCTTCTGCTCCTTGGCACAGTCCAATGGAGTAGTAGCAACTTGGTTGAAGCATGTTGAAGCAAAGCGCCCAATCTGCCAACAAGAATACTGGAAAACATCAGTTTCTGTGTGAGTAGAGGGTTCTTGCATGGAAAAATAATCGAAAGACAAACACAGCATGAGCAACTTCGCAGCTTTCTTTCAAAACATGCCACAATGGCCCCTCTTGCTTTCTTTCCTTCCTTATGATTTTGGGCAAAAGAACCTTTATCAGTCACTTAACTTGTCACCAAGTTGGTTGCATACCTCCTTACACCTCGTGTGCAATTTTCAGCAGTCAACCAAGTACCCGAATCTGTTTCTTGTTGTTCCTGCTTTTTGTTTGTCTGCTGGAAGCGCGTAAGAGGCACTCGGAAAACGTCGCCAAGTATCCGAATCTGTCGCCCAAGGCCCTGAGCTGGTTGCCTGCCGACACAAAGGTTTGTTCAGAAAGTCAACTACGCAAAGGCTCAACACCTATGCAACTACGATGAACATAGCATGTGATGACTACCTGTGTTGTTCACAACATGACATTCACGCCAGAAACAAACGCAAGCACAAGTACCGAACCCTGAACATGGTGACGGTGACCTAGATGTTTCCCTGCGCTAACAAATTCGGTTCTCCAGTCTCACCACACGCACGATTTCGGTGTTCCCACCTGAGGGACAGGGCTGTGAAATTCTGGAGAGATGTCCACTGATCCAGCGATCTTAAACCAAACTGGAGCCACCTCAAAGGCGAGCGACCAAACATGCTCTGAAGCGAGCTCCGACTGTTCCAACCCGGATTGTCCGAAGTGAGGGACCTGCTGAAACAAGGTAATGGTCAATGGTCTCCAGGACATAATCAGGCCTAGCTGCCCCTTTCAGAACATGATCCTCCAAGCGCCGGTCTACGGGAACGGGAACAATGATATCGTCCATCTCAATGAAGATGGTATGAAAGAACGCCATTGCGATCGAAACGTTGACTACTTCACGGTAGTCGCAGGCACCACTGCACTATGAAAGCCCACTTGCTAAGCTCGCAAGTCAGCGAGACTACAATGGAATACAGTATTAACCCCCAGGAATAACGTCCCTTCTGCAGGCGTCTTCTGACATGTGTAAATAGTGTTCAAATGCTTCAAACAAGCTTGCAGATTGAAAGCAGCGGTGCGAGCTTTGCAAGAGGCATACAGCGTACTAACGAGCGCCTCTCTTAAGCCAGGAAAGGCGATTGCAGTCAGTGGCCAAACAGAATCAGGCCGTTCTAATTACTCACACACTAAAGAGAGGCGGCATTTGATCAATGGCAAAACCATACTGCGCAATGCATCTGACAAGACGGCACATTTTTCGGAACAAGTTCACTGTCCTGTATTGGACTTTGCCGATCGCACGGTCGTTGGCCTACATGTCTCGTCCTCCAAGCGTGGACTTGGACATCTTGCACCAGACTCTCATTGAATCTCAGTGACCTCAAAATGCACAAATGGCTGCCACAGCCAAAACAAACTTTTGTCCTTCATAGATTGATGAGAGGATCGGACGAAAACCTGTAGCCTGCAATCAGTCAATTAAGCCTAAAAAAAGGTCCTTCTGCATGAGCTTCATGAATATATCACGTCATCATGTCACATCAACATGAAAAAAGACTCACAAAATCCCTCTGAAAAGTCAGAATTACACTACACCATACAGAAATCCAGAATCGAGACCAGCTCGTTTGACTTTCCACAACGTTTCTTCTGACAATTGAAAGCTGCCTCGAGCTCGTTTGCCCTATGCCCTCAAGCCGTGGAGACGGGTTGACCCGATGTGCCTTGAGTGAAACTGCTCAAACGTTCAGCTGTCGAGTGGGCGCCATGCTTCTGACCTCAAGTGACTACAACTGTACACCGTGGGCATCCGTGGGCTGTGGCGCCGTCTCTCATGGACCAAGCCCCAACAGCTTTGGAACGTCATGAACCCCACGTGGGGGTGAGGGATCAAGAAAATTGAACAGGTGAAACAATTAATGGATACAAGGGAAAAAGGACCACCCCGGAACAGGGGACCAGTGTACCAGGAGACGAGGGAACCGCGGGCTAGGGGACTGTCATGTTTGATGCGCCTATATACGTGCTCCGACCAGGGACCCTCCATCACGACTCGGCTTCGCAGCAACTCTCATCTGCCTTTGCCAAGCTGCAGGTCGTTGCGTCCTCGGCAATCCTGGCTGATACCTTGGCTGATGTCAAATCAATCCTGAAAAAGAGTCCTCACACATCCAACACTGTTATGGTGGCTAGCATTGCTGACTCAACCGATGATTCCATCACAACCAAAAATAAACTCTAAACATTGTTTTTAGGTTGTCGCTATTGGGTTGGAGGCCCTTCCCATAGGTTTGTTTCATTGTCATGAACAACAAAAATAAACATCGCAGTTGAGGCATCCAGGCATGCTTTCCGGTGGGGGTATGGCAGGCTGTGCCAGCAAAGCGTTGATCCTGAAAAATGCCACGGAGCATTAGGACAGCACAGTTTCGACCTACGCCGTCATGTCTCCGAAGAAGCGGATGAATTGACAACATGCATCCTCCAGTCTTATAGCGATGGCGCCCTCCTAATAGCGGTGGCCTCCAATCTAGAATCTAGAAGCGATGGCCTCCAACCTAATGTAAACGGTTCGTGTCTGCATTTCAGCATTGGAGTTGTAACATGTGGCGTTCTGTGTTTGCCGTCTCAGCAATTCAGCGGTTGTGCAGTGAACAGCAGTTGGTCCTTTGCAGTTCCATCTCGGTATCTCGCCTGGGTCACGTCAGTCGTGCGTTGAATTCATCGTTCAAGAGAAAGCACGAGTTCTCTTTCTGGGCTTCTTCAAGGCCCATGGACATCATGGAGTTGACTATCCTTACTAATTACTCCTTTTCAAGAAGCAGTAGCCTTTTCAATTTTCAACAATGCAACTTGACAAATCAAACGCGCTAATTTGACAGACATCTGTGAACGCCCTCCAGATATTTCTGGATTCCGCTGCATTGGATCTGCCAGCGCTTGCCGCTGCTGCTGATGCGACCTGAGCTGGTTCTGCGCAGCCTTGCACTTTGAGCTGCTTCATTGTAATCAAAGGACTTCATGAGAAGAACTTCTAATAGCGAACATTGTTACTAGTAGTAAGGCCAGGAGCCCCTAGTAGCGTCCTTGCTCCGTGTCTCTATTATTGAGATATCCCTAAATTGGACCTCCAAGACGAGACCCACAGAGATAAACCCTGGTGCCAGTGCCCTTATTATGATGGTGGTCCCTCACAGAAGTGTGTGACAGTCAATGACCGGGAAAGAAGTGACACAGGCGTTCTCGCCAAAAAAGGAATTAGTTCATCTCCGCTGCTTACCAAAGTTGCCAACTGAGAGCCCGAACATAGTAGTGCTATGCGCCTGAAAGAACAGCACATCTTCAATCTTACTTTGTACTTGAACATAGCTTGTGCTGGACATCTGTATGACTTGTATGCAGCTTGTCGGTTGTTCATTATCATGTCTCTCACCTTTTCAGGGTTTGAGAAAACCGGTATGCAACAGGAGATACTCTACAAGTCATCTACATAAGAGAATGAATGTCTCTTGCTTGATCAAAGTACATGCCAAAGCAAACTGCAAAAGACAAAAAAAAAAAAAAAACATCATATCCATTATCCCGCTCTTACTGCAGCATCTTAACCTTGGCCTACGCCTATCAAACGCAAATCCAAAGGATATCTAGTCAGCTCTCTGAACACCAGGGGTGCGCACATGGTCATTGAATTGAGCATGAGCCGCATGGAAGTGAGATGTGGCCTGTACTAGCGTGGCACTTGTTACTACTAGTAAGGCACCTGTTACTACCAAGCTTACGGCACAATGTTGTATCTCTTTTCGGCCGGTATTCCACTGCTCTGGTCGACTGTAGCAGTCAGAGCTTGGGATTCTGGTATATATTCATCCGAAAACGGACAAGACTTGGTTCAAACGAAAGATTGGGGAGCATTGCATCCTACGGTACCAATGTACTATGCACTTCTCCGTATATTTATCTGAGCAAAAGATGTTCATTGACAAGGACATGCTATCCTTAGAAAGGCAATAGCGATCCTTTTCCAAAGCTCGTCTTTGAACCTTAGCTTAGCTCATCGCCCTTTGGGAGACACGAGTGCAATCCATTTGGATGAAGCACCAATTATTAGCCAGGGTGTGGCAACGCGAGGATCATTCGCAAACATCTGGAGGAAGGTATCACAAATAGTTTTGCATTGCAAGTGCAAAGTGAAAGCAATTAAGGTAGATGGAAGTGAACCTTCGCTCTTTGTCCACACGTAAAATGCGCTGGAAACTCAGCTGAAGCTTAGGAAACAAGACTACATATTAACACCCCACTATGACATAACACCACTTCAAAACAGGCAGCTCTCAAATATATTAACATTGCCCGGAGCATATTCATGTAGCCAGATCCGAAGCACATAGATCAAAAGAAGTATAGACGCACTTTAGTGCGCATTTCCCTTTGAGCTCATGAGGGCAAAAGCCTTCCAACCATTAACTGTATCAAGTATCAGCCTTGCAATTCTGCAAGAGCTGTCAGCCAAACTGCTGACCACTTTGGCAGGAGATGGGATCGTCTGTAAGGGTACCGGTAACTGCTAGTGGTTTTTGGCGCCACAGAACCATGGCTGGCCACGGCATATGATGGACATTTCTTTGGAACTGCAGGAAGACCCTTTTCTCCTCCGCCTTGGAAATTGATTCTTTCGTGCAGATTCGCTTTTCACAGTTCTTGGCCCGTCAAATCACTGACTTCCTTCGTGCTCCTTTTCTTTGGGTGGGCTCCCTCCTGCACGACGGTTGCTTCCAATGGTCACTCACGACTCAAACAATTTCGGTCTCTGGAACTATACAAACAGTATACCCAATTGCTGTAGTGTTTGTTCGCTCTCATTGAAAACGAAGCTTGTCCACTTAGATTAAATATTGAAAGATGGCAGGAGCACAAAGTGCAAAATGCATGCCTCCTCATCGCGCCACAGAAGCAAAAGCAACTTGGAACTCTTTGGTCTAAGGCTCATGATGTCGTCTGATATTCTCCGCTAGTAATGATGAATGACCCCGCTCTTGATCGTCTCGGGATCAAGCTCGCTGAAGCTGTGGGAGCGCGGCCCTCGCGTGAATCGCCTCCTCAAACAGCATGGGACATCGTCGGAGTGCTACAGTGCTACCCATGCTGCTGGCGCGTGCATACAAAAGAACATGCAGGGTTGACCCAAACAAACGTACATGGTGCAGTACAAGTGGCAAAATAGATACGGAGAGATCCCCATTTGCAAACATAAAAGTTGATGGTGCATTGATTCCACTATCAACAATGTGCTAGGCGCACACTCTGTTAAAGAAATGCCCTCAGCTTAGAGTGCAATAACATTCTGGCAGAACAGGGGATGATGGTCACAAGCAACATCAACCATCAGGCCGCGCCAGACAGTAGCTCGTGTCTCAAAATCAGGCTCCCACAATGACCAAATTTAAGAGATGCTTGATGAATCTAGTCGCAAGCGAATCTGCGCTGTACTCATGGCATCGAAGCTGCAAAAAGGCTGAGCTAAGCATGCAAGCATGCAAGCAATCCTCCCCAACACCATCGGAATTGAACACTTTTTGCTTGAAAGACCAAGGCTCAACTGCAGTAAGTCTTCAGCACAGACAAAGCCCTGTCAAAACTGCGGGAAGAAAAAGGATTCTACACAATGCATCATGAACCGCTTGCAACAAGTTCAACAATGCATGCACATCCAAGTGAGGAGCAAAAAGCGTCCGTCTAGATCAAACATAATGCAAGCTCACACATCCTCCAGAATGCAAAGACCATATGTGTGTACACTGGGTGATGTCACCAACAGCTGAGCAACTGCCTTCTCTCTTGAAGCTGCTTGTTACCCACATGTGTCCATCACTCCCAACTAGCCTTTTGATCAACATCCAAGAACTCCGCGAGGACACCTCCACAACAGGATATTCGTTTGGCAGATTGGGGGCAACGGGCCAGGAAACGACTCTTTTCGCTGCCAAAGCCGGTAACTGCAACAGGATGAAACTCCAAATAAAGAACTTTGGTCAGAAGACCTAAATCTATTTCGGTCACTTGGGCAAAACCACTGCTGCAAGTCAAGAATGACTCACAACGAGGACGGGTTGCAGCCCCCATGGAGGTCTAAACAATGGCTCCTTGACGAAAAACATGTCATTTACATTGTGTAAATGTGTGAAATAGATTCTTCCAATAAGAGAAGCCCCTTGGCATCCTGTACATGTCCCATCTCACACCGCCTGCAGCACCAAAGAAGCCCAGCTCCTCTTGCAGCGCAGCTTTGAATCGCTTCCGCGGCATCTTGCCCAGGCCACCTCGATCCTCGACGAAAACTCGCAGTGAAAACTCTGGTTAATACACATTGTTTGCTTGGGAGAGAAAGAAACGGATGCGATCAACATGTATATAAGTTAAGAAGCAAAACGCCCCTAAGTCATTACCAAAAATAGAGGTTACAGTACATGGAGTCATAGTTCAAAGAGCCTGAAACTGGGTGCTGTTCAGTGGGTTCTGCTTTAATGGTTGCTGTAGCTCTCCTTTTGAAGAGCTACCTTTCATCGGAATAACCCTTACCCGTGAGCATTCTGGCAAGTTTCGATCAAGGGCCAAACATTCTGCAACTTTCCATCTCTGGCAAAGGGGAACTCTCCTTGGTGGAACATCCAAGCCGTGCTGAAGGGGCTGAGATGGCGCATGAAAGCTGCACTTCTGCTAGGAAAAGAGAGCAAACATGGCTGTCCCATTAAATCCCACACTCTCAACTGGCTTCACCGATACATTCCTAGGAGTGTGGGTACATGAGCAGGTAATGGACAATGACAAGGTCTCTCCATGATTCTCTGCTTAAGCGACCTTCGTGGAGGATGAAAAATGGCTCCAAGCAAATACCGATCAGATGCTAAATCTGTGCACATCACAGCAAAACATGACTCCTGCGTTTCACTTAATCCATGCGCACTTTGCTGCCTGCCAGGAAGCTATGGAGAAAAATTGCAAATTCCTCTAACTGCTGGAGCACTTCCTTTTGCAAGTCCGACATGGTTGACCACTCCTGGAAAGGCAGCGCACTCAGAAGTGTCAGCCAAAATCACAGCATGCTTTGAGGCCTCACATATCCGTTGTAGAATACAAGTATATATATATATATAATATAGTTAATTGAAACATCAACTGAGCAAATAGTAAAATTATGGTGGTTAATTGATATGTTTGGAAACATGTTTAACCGCTCCACCCCATCTCCCGTTCACCTTGCGCGAGATGCTTCCGCTGTTGTCAGGGTCCAAGAAGCGGAAGACTTTCTGAATCAGTGGCACAGCCGCGGCGCCTGCAGAAGGCCGTCTAAGCAGTGAGGTGTCCCGGCATCTATGCTCAGGATAGATAGCTCACGCATTTGCCCATTTTCTTGGCTGCTTGAATTACGTTGCAACCTAAATTGTTCCAACTCTCAAGCTTCTGACTAGGCCACCGAATTCTTGCTACTTCTCACATGTTTGTAGGCGCCAAAACGTGCAATCTTGCTTCACTGCAGACAAACACCTTGGAATTCTTTGTAGCCCATCCGCTGCACACGTTCCTTGGTCCAGAAAAAATGGCATATAATCGTGTATGTCTTGGAGATTGTCAGGTGAAGTTTGCCCTGGGGGTTCCGCAAGTCCAAAATGTGCACGACTTCACTACATAGTCACTACGAGCTGAGCAAGCTGCCGTCAACTCCTTGAGGTTAATCACGCCATTACCTTTCACTCCGTCGATGAAAGTAAAGGCCTGTCGAAGTAAAGGAATGCGTGCTTTGATCGTATTTCATAAACCATTCTGCAAGAAACGTTGAGAATCAGCATGGCAAAGCGTGTCCGCGAACGATTGTCCGCTACGCTGGCAGTGGCGGTCGTGCTGGTTTCGCTGACTACGCGGATTTCGCGGATTTCGCCGTTTACGCTGTAAAAACACTGATTACACTGGTTGCACTGGATACGCTGATTGTCCTGTGTAAACGCTGTGATCCGGGTAAACGGTGTAACGGTGTAAAGGGTGTATTCGGTGTCAACGGTGTAATCGGTGTAAACGGTGTAGCGGTGTAGACGGTGCATACGATCCACTGAGATTCATCCTGTCACTACATCTCCTTTTCTTATCAGCACCGTGCCCATTCTTGATTACAGGCACTTATGTTAAGGTCCTTCTGATCAAAATGAGCGCGGTCAACTTTCTGAGTGCCTGACGTGACAATAGGTGGGCTGAAAATGGTGTAGACAGTGTAAACAGTGTAACGGTGTAAACAGTGTTAACGGTGTATATAAACGGTGTACAAAAAATTGTGGATACTGATTGCGCCAGCAATGGAAACTTGTTTGTACTGACCTGCAACACCTTGACGGTAGAAAACAAGCAGCTCCCTGCATGTGGCCTGGTCGAAATCCTTAAACCTCCGCAGCAAGAGCCTTGGAAAAGCAACTGTGCTTGCGTGCGCTTCTGTGCTTTGTGCCAAGTAAGCTTCGGGTCAAACCTGTACAGTAGCTTGTCACGATGATAAACACGAGCGTGCACTCACTCACTCGCTAATTGCGAATGCAAACCAGGTTCAACCTTTTCGTTGCCGTCAAGATGCTGCAGGAATTGCACCACCTGTGCAAGAAGCCACTAACGTGCGTGAAGAGGCATCTTTGCCCCGCTAGCCAAGCCATCAAAACAGCTTTTGAAGACAGAATTAGAGAAGACT